ATCACACAAAAGCACGGTACGCAGGCGTTCAGATATACCTAATAAATTGAAAGTTCATAAGTCGCCTTTCGAAGCGTTTCTCATTTAACACCAATCACTTTCGTATCGATACGATTCGTGTAGTCCGGATCCTCGGATCTGTCACAATCAATACACAATCGAAATTGATTGCAGCAATAAATTGAGGATTGCTTTTTATTCTCTTGAGTTCGTACGATAAAAATAAAACGGAGAGTAATTGCAGGCACCCCGACTGCGCCGTCAACTTTTCAATTACAATGAATTGCCTGTGTTATAATTAGGTGCTCTCTGAAATCGGCCAGGAAATATTAACACTTACAAGTTAAAACTAAAATCATACGTGGAATTATTTTTTTCTTGAATACCATTCGAATACTTTGAATATCAAGCAAGAGAAGTAACGGAAACAGCCATGATTTGATTTTATATCATTTGATTTTGCAACATGAAATCAGTAAAATCAATACCGTGTTTGTTCAATGTTACCAAAATTACAAAGTTTAAACGCTGTGCTTTGGATTGTGAGGGACCTTTCAATTTTTTAGGATTACCTACTATTTCTATTTATTTCAATATTTTTAACTGCTGTTGAAATTATTCATCAGTACCTATCTACCTATCCTGACACTCATTTAAAATTAATTTGTGAAATAAATAGTATTGATTATTAATGAACCATCCAGCTATGAATTCGGCAACGGTCCCGCTGCTTGATGATGACACCATCGCATTTGGTGAAGAGGATAATGCTAATAAACAGTTTACATTGCATAATCAAAACTACTTTTTACAGTTTAATTTTGCGTTTTTTATTGTAATTATTTTATTTCAGAATATTTTTTTACTTTTACCAAATTATTTATAATACGTTACCATATAAAATTATAAAACATACATGAGACATGAAATGAATTACGAAAATATCCAGAAAACCTTTCAACATTTCGTTTACTTTGAAAACCTACATACAAGGGCTCACATCCTCTAAATAAACATGGATGATTCATGAAATTCGTTACAAGCAATATTTCGGTTTGCTCGTTCAGAATCAAATTTAATGTTATTCGAAGAAAATACCGAAACTTATATTGAATATAGGAGACAGGGTATCAAACTTTTCTTGGAATATATTTTCTCGACTTATACACATATTAAATCTAATATTGTTAATGTTTCCTAGCTAAATATCTTATACCTTTAAACGAGCAATTCTTGTATATTAATATATATGTCGGAGCACGCCAGGTATGGCTGAGCGGTAGTTTCGTCATCACTCGTATTCGATTGAACTCAGTTTAGTTAATAAAACTTTTCAATAATAATTATTGAAACTTAACACACACAACTTTCACAATGACAGGATAAACCGACAGTTTCGTTGCACATACCGACAGACCGACTGACTGAGACGGACGGAATGACTGTCTGACACGGANCCGACTGACTGAGACGGACGGAATGACTGTCTGACACGGAATGCCACGACTCTGTCCACGTACCGCCATTTTATACTGTGGCGTTACGTAGTCTACCCTTCATTTTGTGATATTTATCAAAACAACATCTCATCATTTAAAATAATAATCAAAACCACCGTCTTAATATTACTAAAAGTCGTTATCCACGACATATATATAATCTGAATCTCGGAAACGGCTCCAACGACTTTCATAAAATTTAGTATACAGGGGATTTCGGGGGCGATAAATCGATCTAGCTACGATTTATTTTCAGAAAATGTTGCTTTATTCGTATTTTCAATAATCAATTCTTTCCGACATCTATTGGCGAATAATAATATTATTTTTCTTAATTGAGGACAACTAGCCGCTTTAAAGACACAACAAGATGGCGTTATCAAAAAAAAACCGAGCAAAGCTCGGTCATCATCTACTAAATCAGAACCATCATGATTTCGACCTGTCTGACTCCTCCTGTTTGAAAAGCTGTTTTAATTAATCGAAAACAATTAACATTACATGACTTGAATTTTGATAGGTATAGGTAAAAACAAATTCGTTTAATGTTATTGTGGTCTAAAATATAGAATGTCTCATTACAATTTTTTTTAAAGTAACTTACTTAGCACATTTTCACGGGCGGCTTCTATGAAAAATGAATAGCATAGCATACCATAATGTCATAAAAATTAGACCCCAAAATTTTATACATTTTATATTAATGATAATTGGAAACCCGGACTGATTCTGTCTATATATGTGGCAAATCAACCCACGCGTTCCGCTATACAATGCAACAAAAATTTGAACCTCATCTTTAAAGATGGATGTTCGGGCGGGTGTTCACGTTGTGATGTCTCTATAGACATTATTTTTATTTATTTAGTATCTATGCTCCCGTCACAATTCAAAACCGTTTTTTTTATTGCTTAGATGGGTGGACGAGCTCACAGCCCACCTGGTTACTGGAGCCCATAGACATCTGCGACGTAAATGTGCCACCCACCTAAAACCTGTTATTGTATTAGTAAAATACAATAAAGAAGGCTCACAAAGATGAATCAAAATTACGAAAAAAATGGGGACGGCCACTCTCCACGCGCTATAGAGGGCTGATACAAATGATGAAAAGATGGCTGATACAAATGCTTATGCTCTTAACCGTAACGGCTAAAACTGACCTACCCCCTCACGTTTCACGGCTGAAATTTAGAGCAGAACGGACTGAATCGTAATAACATTTTGAAAATTCATTTGATTCGAACATCATAAAACTGATTCAATTTATAGCATCGTGGTAAAGTTTTAAGTGGCCATTAAAAGTTGTATGAGGAGAATAGCCCGAGGGCAGATCTAGTGGCATTTTACGCAATGACTCCCCGAGGGTGACCCGAGGGAAAACACATTTTAGGATCAAAGAGAATTTAGTTTTTTAATGAACAGTTTAATATTTTAAGCGTCAAACATATTTTTATATGTATATCGTATCGAATTTTGTCTAATCTAATCAATCTATACTTCTATATCTATACTAATATTATAAAGAGGAAAGATTTGTTTGTTTGTTTGTTTCGAATAGGCTCCGAAACTACTGGACCGATTTGAAAAATTCTTTTTCCATTAGAAGCCGACATTGTCCCTGATGAACATAGGCTACTTTTTTTTATTTTTATTTATTTATTTTTTTTGGTTTCATCTGTGTTTTAATGTTTCCGAAGCGAAGCGAGGGCGGGTCGCTAGTATTTCATAAGCACAACAAATATCTGACACGCTTCATTGTAACTGGTATGAAATTAGACCATGTGTAAGTAGAGTAACCTCTACCATTTTTAGTGTTTTGGTATTGAGAATTGTTTTCGTTATTGTTTTTATTATGTTANTCAAAAAGCAATGGAAAGAAGCGTACTAAAAATAAGAAAAATACAAAAAGTAAAAAGCGAAAAAATTAGACAAAAAACTAAAGTTATAGATGCCTTACAATATGCTTTAAAACAGAAATGGCAGTGGGCAGGACATATAGCAAGACGCACAGACAAAAGATGGACATTACAGACAACTATGTGGAAAGGACCAAGAGGAAAAAGAAGAAAAGGGCGCCCTAGAAAAAGATGGATAGACGATATAAAAGCGATAGCAGGAAGCGATTGGATAAGGAAAGCCATGGACAAAGGAATTTGGAAGAAGCTGGAGGAGGCCTTTACCCGAGAAGGGGTTCCGATCATTGATACAGGAGAAAGCAACGTTAGCGAATTAAAGAAAATTAAAGAAATTCTACCCTAGTATATTTAGATATTAAATCGCATGTAATATATTATCATTATGGTTTGGAAATAAACAGGCTTTATTATTATTATTATTATATTATTATTATTTATAAGCGGAAACCTCGTATATAGAAAAAAAGTGGGTCACAACTACTTTATAAAGAGTTGTTACTAAAGCTCTCAGATATATCTTTGAGGTCGTTTCCAAAAGTGTCCGAGCCCAAGCCGACCCAATACTCTTAAAGGCACGCGAATTTTCCTAGTTAATTCCTTGAATTGCTTTAGAATTTATTAGTTAGCAAATTATGTTAGTGCTATAATAATTTGTCTCTATCGCCGTCACAGAGCTAAGACGATATCAATCATGAAGGCCTAGTGTGAGCTCGTGCGTGGCTTACGACCGATGACAAATGGCTTTCAACGACGCTTAGGCTGGCATCATTTTCGTTATGATGACAATACATACGATCGGAAATATTATAATGAATGTGTCGAAACATTTTTATTTAAACTAGTATTTTTTTGCAGTCAAAGACACACATAAAAACTGATTTGTAATTTATTTAATGTTGCCAACATTACACTAATATAATTTTATTTTGTGCGGAATAGTTGTTATCTGAATTTAATATTTTGAATTAGTTATATTATTCTCCTATTATTATTGACGTTGTTAGTTACAATTATATTAAAAAAAAAAGGCTATTTACCCTTCAAATTGGCCGCAGTAACTAGGCGGGATGGTGTTACTTATGCTAAATATTATGTGACCATCAGTAACGTAACGTAAATTTATAAATTTGAAAACCAATCCTGTTTTCATAACTTGATTCCTTCATCTTGGAAGATATTCGTGAATCGCATCACTGGATACGAGTCGTGCGTCTTATCTATTCGGCCATGGAGCTGCAATTAATCATTTCATTTCATGTCAAGGTAGCTTCGTCTACAAGTAATGGTGCCTACTAGTTACCTCGTTTTTTATTGGTGGTAGGACCTCTTGAGAGTCCGCGTGGGTAGGTACAACCACCCTGCCTATTTCTGCCGTGAAGCAGTAATGCGTTTCGGTTTGAAGGGTGGGGCAGCCTTTGTAACTATACTTAGGGAACTTAGAACTTATATCTCAAGGTGGGTGGCGCATTTACGTTGTAGATGTCTATGGGCTCCAGTAACCACTTAACACCAGGTGGGCTGTGAGCTCGTCCACCTAACTAAGCGATAAAAAAATAATTTAAAATTAGCATATTTTTTACAGATATACGCTGACGAAGACCAAGATCTGAGCACCATAGAAACCGCCGATAAGGAAGAAGACAAGGATAAATCGAACTACGATTCCCTGGAGAAGCTACACGATATTACGGTCATGGAGGAGGACAACATCGGAGACGACGAGGACATGCTGGACGTCGCCGACGATGCGGAGAGCGGTGACTGGTATCCTGATTTCGACAAGCGTGCTGATAAAGTTAGTATGTGATTAATTTTATTCCTAACGAAAAATGTGGGCTGGCCGTAAATACCATTTTTTAATTTCTAAAAATAAATAGTGTGTAATTTTTTATATTTATTTTATTTTTGTTATATGTTTCTTTGTGATAGAAAGAATATAATGTTGCCAACAATAAGAATTATATTCTTACTAATAACATTAAGTCAAAAAGGCACTGTCAAACTACATATAATATTGTAACGTTATGGTCAGCTGACTGTGTATGGTCAGCGCTTAGTTTAACCAATTTACTAGGTGAGTTAGTTGTAATATATTAGAATGAAGCGCCCCGGGGTCATAAAATTGTATGGGGTCATAAAAATATATAATACAAAACTATTACCACGAAGAACGCAATGCTTATTTATCGATTTTGGTAATGAAAAAACTAATATCAAACACAAATTGCGATTACAATCTCAAAAAATTTCAAACAATCTCGAAACTCAATTTCGTGAGTATCATAAAATAATTCAGTATTTTATAATACTTATGACCCTTTTCCAATTATGAATAATCTGTTGAAGCATAATTTTTCGCTCCATTACCGTAGTCGCGTCACGAGCGAGAGTTAATATTAAAATCAATAATATAAAGCTCTTGTAAGGGTTACAGCCATTAAATTCGATGATACGATGTTTCACGGGCTTTAATTTTTCTATATTTAGAAGCTCGGGAAATAATACCCTTATTGAATTAAATGGCCCGCTTCTAAAACCACTATACCGCGAAGGACATAACAAGATCAGAATGATTTTATTTTTTTAATAAGTACAAATAATGTCAGATATATCTATTTTAGGAAAGTAGTTCCTTGATAGAATAGAACCTTGATGATACAGCAATGATACAACAGACAGTGTTGCCGATAAGAAAATCAAACAAGAATGAGGGTAGTTCAAAATTTATTTTAAACGAATCCTCCCTTCGTACATGTTTTGGAATGCCTCTCTATTTAACGGTAAAAATTTAGAACGAACGTAGAGGCTCTGGCAGGATGGATTTGAGAAGGAGAATAGAGGAGATACCGCTCTGTCTTCTCCATTTCCTTAATCTCTCTATCCACGTGCATAAAAGTAGCTTTTGATATTTTGATGTTGTGTATCTACCTAAAATCTACGCAACGGTTATTTTATATCGCTCTGATCGATACAGCCCTATCGATAACATTGAACCGTTCCAAAAAAAAAAACATTTGGATACATTATCTGAAAACAATGAATTACGTTTATTGATTCGAGTTGTCATCACGACCACTTTAAGTGCAAACATTTCTTCGTCTGTCCCGTTTTGTATTCGCAGGTGTGTTTCTTTGCATCTCTCGGCTTTTTTTAGGTTGCTATTTTAATAACACCATTCATCGTTCTCGGATAATCTATATATTAATACGTGAAGCAAAAACTTTGTATTTCTTTTTACGAAAATTGCGCGGACGGAGCAGTATGAAATTTTCCACACTTATAGAGAATATAGAGAAGAAGTGCACAATGCTAATATTTTACTGTAAATAATGATGAGAGCAATTATTGATTTCGAAGAAAACAATTAACAACTTAATTTTATCTGCAGAAAAAAACAGATTTCTCGTAAACCTGGGAGAGAATATAAAAATCGTTTTCTGAATATGAAACGATATTTATTTGTCTATCAAATTAAGTTAAAACTATCATCACCCGACAACTTTTTAGGGGCCCAAACGCCCATAGAAAATGGGCATTGTCCTTTTCCACACTTATAGAGAATATAGAGAAGAAGTGCACAATGCTAATATTTTTTTTAAATAATGCATAAAAGATACATTTAATCAATAAAGAAAACATTACGCACACTACATACCATGTATTTGACGCATTACGCACACACGCATGCATACTATTTATTGTCAAACTTTTTTCTTGACGTCTGTTGTCAAATTGAGAATAGATTAAATATTGTTTGTCTTTGTTAATATTTTTTATAGTGTAGTCTTGGCGAAATTTGTGATATAGAAGTATAAAATACAATCATAATAGTGTACAAACTTACAATTTCAATTAATTATAGTCGAATTTCGACTACTGCGGGATCTCTAGTTCACTAGAAATGTCCAAATGGACGCTTCGTTTCATTTTATTAAGAGATATTATTACAAAATTCATGTCGCCGGCCACCTTGAGGTCTGAAGCGTTGGCTCACGTACGTAATGAGTACGGGAAATAATACCTATAGCTATGATAGATACCGGGAATATAGAGTACGAGTCACGCACGGTCGTCCGACTCCGACCAAATTAGGATTCCCTGTTTTACGGAAACTAGAGACTTATATACATTTATCTATACTAATATTATAAAGCTGAAGAGTTAGTTTGTTTGAACGCGCTAATCTTAGGAACTACTTACTCTCAGGAACCACCGTTTCTAACACAGCGGAAGCTCTCAAAAAGGAAACAAACCCGATTTTGAAGCATTCTTTATTGGTGCTCCGTTTATATTGGTCTTAGCGTGATGTTATATAATCTATAGTCTTCCTCAATAAATGGGCTATCTAACACTGAAAGATTTTTTTAAATCGGAACACTAGTTCCTGAAATTAGCGCGTTCAAACAAACAAACTCTTCAGCTTTATAATATTATACCTATATAGTACCTATAGATAATAAAAAATATTAAAAGCCTTTAACTTCTTTTAAAATTAATATTAAAAATGATACAGTAAACAGTATTATAATAAACTATACAAAACGGAGCTCTCTTTTTACTAAATGACAGACTTTACTGCATGACACTGAAAAAAAATCCTTTTATAAACTCTTCTTTTTCTTTGTCTCCACTTTATACCACTAGGTAGATAAGAAAAGAGTTTTAAATAATAAAGATTTTTCTTTACATACATACGTTTAAATATAATACGTTTATGGCTTATAATCACCCACACAAAGAGCAAACCTGTTCATGACACGAATGTTTGCCCGATGTGGGAACCGAACCCATGACCCTCGGCGCACCAGTCAGATGCGCTATCTACTGCACCACCGAGTCAGCAGATAGACTAAAGCAGTCTACTATAACGTATACAAAAATATCTTCGCAAGTGCTCTGAGGAATTGTTTGAGATGATACCTCCATCTCGTTTTTACCATCGCACCGCCCGCCACCGGAGTAGAGTTCATCCATACTACCTGGAGCCACTGCGTTCATCCACAGTGCGCTTTCAGAGATCATTTTTGCCACGTACCATCAGGCTTTGGAATGAGCTCCCCTCCATGGTGTTTCCCGAGCGCTATGACATATCCTTCGTCAAACGAGGCTTATGGAGAGTACTTAACGGTAGGCAGCGGCTTGGTTCTGCTCCTGGCATTGCTGAAGTCCATGGGCGACGGTTACCACTTACCATCAGGTGGGCCGTACGCTCGTCTGCCTACAAAGGCAATAAAAAATAAATAAAAATAAAATAATAATTTATAGGTGATGAATTCGAACATGGTGCATCTACGTCCCGACGAAATTGCTGACGCAGTTGCATTCAAGAAGGACAACGAGCTGCTCCTCTCGAACGTGAGAAAAATCAAGAAACTGCTAAACGAGAATCCAGAAAATCCCGATTTGCCGCGTAAGTAATCATCGTGTGTTAGTATTAAATTTCTTTAATCCGCCGGTTAGTGTAATCCGGCACCCGTGTGCTCAGTGCGAGTTTTTTAACGTTCTCGATAGCGTAAAAGTTAGGTTAAATCTGTATGCAGTTGGAACAGCGCCCCTGGCGGCAAACGTAGGCAAACGCTCCGACTGCATACAAATTTAACTTTTACGCTATCGAGCACGTTAAAAAACTCGCACTAAACACACCGGACTTAATTCCCAATCGGAGGTAGTTTTAAAGATTATGTAGATCGTTGTACTGTAATGAACGCACAATGGTATGTTACAAATGAAAGAATCCATTATGATCTTGCCATAAGAAAAGTCAAAGATGAAGTAATCCATTGAACTAAAGCCTATTGTGTAATATTGGAAGCTAATCCGAATAACCTTGCTAAGCATTTAATGGACAAGCAAATGACTACAAAAAGACTCAGAAGAAGAGTACCTCAAGATCTACTAGATCTACTGTAGATTAATTGATATGGACATGTCAATGGACATTGTGCATAGACCGCCTAAGATATTGTTTTTCTCAAAACTACGGTTGAATGTCTGTTAGCTTACTGTATAGAATAAAAAAAAAGATCGTTGTACAAGTACACTTGGCTTAAAGTGGTTATCGTTGCCCATAGAGATAAGAACGTCAATGCCGCCAATCAATATTGACACGTGAGATCGAAGTCCCGTCCTTGAAATCGGAACGAATGACAGCTTAGAGGCAGCTCTCAGAACTGTGGTGAATGCCGCTTAGTGATTATAGAATAAAACAAATCGGATCAAAACCGGAATTACGCTAACGACATTTACAATAGCTATACAACAAACCTGAGATATTCTCAACATAAATGATAAATGAATATTGGTGGTAGGACATCTTGTGAGTCCGCACGAATAGGTCCAACCACCCTGCCTATTTCTGTCGTGAAGCAGTAATGCGTTTCGTTTTGATGGGTGGGTCAGCTGTTGTACTGTTAAAACTGAGACCTTACAACTCATGTCTTTAGATGGGTGGCGTCATTTACGTTGTAGACGTCTATGGGCTCCGGTTACCACGGACCGTGATCTCGTCCACCCATTTAAGCTAAAAAAAAAGAATAAATCACTTGATATGAGTACATTGGATATCTTACCAAAACCCCCAAAAATAGACCATACAAAATTGTTAAATTTTATGTTAAAAACACAGATATGAAAACAAAACGAAACATCATAAAATATATCTCTTCTATCTCAGTGCATAATGTGAAAAATACTCAAGCGTCTCTGGATAAACACGGGTCTGTAATACGTCTACTAGAATTCAGCGCACGTTTTGACGCTTGTGCTCTATCAGTCGCGCTGAAAATTTCTTTCTCCGATGCTATCGTAAATTGTTCTCCGAGTCGTATTGCTGAAAAAGGGCTTAATAGTCGAACCGTATTTTTGTATTAAAAAAATACGTTAATAAACGAATAAAATATGATATATTTCAATTAAAATGTGATAACGCTAGTCAGTTGTTATTGCTGCCGATTTTCAAATATCCAAATTTTATTAATGTTAATTATGTTTGAGGTGTGTGACGAAAGTGGTCAGGCGGGATACGTTTTGCAAGTTAGTTTTGCACTTTAGTCTCTCTCTTGTTACATAAAAAATACACAGTATAATTAAATTATTAAGTTACGATTGAAATATATGTGTCACGATACGATACCCCTATACATACTTACTATAGTAGAATTATTTTGTCCGTGCAGTTTGGGTCATAAAAAATCGGTGCGGTGAAGCGAGCATTTCGCTCTCTCTTCCACTCGCGAGCCTTATGGACGGGCATAGTGATGCGCATTATTGTTGTCGATAAGCGTTATCGATAGTATATTTAGTTTTGTCATTTTGTGGGTTAGTAATAAAAATGAAAGAAAAAATACTAATCGAACGCTTACACCACATATCGCCGCAGCAAGTTAACGAGAACGGCGGAAATTAACACTTTGTAACTTTTCGGGATCTATTCTTATTTCAGTGAAAATTTTTAACACATTGTTGATAACAACACGTGCAAATATTATTTTGAATAAATTCTGCCGTTTTGATACAAAACAAAGGAGTAGCCATTGTGTCACTAAAGAAATTCAGAGAACGAATGCATAAAAACACATTTCTCTTCGACGTAATGTACTATAATTTGCAAGTAAGTACAAATGACTCATAACATAACAATGTCTCACCACCCTTCGTATACCGCCCCGCCGCCGTGTACCTGCCTTCGATCACTCATTTGTTTTTATCGATAATGGCGTCGCGCCCGCGCAACATGCTCACCGCCCTAGCCAGGCTATGTTTTATGACCCAAACTGTACGGACAAAATAATTCTACTATAGTAAAAAAACTTATCAACATTGTTCATTGTTACAGCACTCCAACCGCCGGACATGACAGAATCTTCAGTCGATAAACGCAACAAACGTAGCGTTTTCGAATCAAGCCCTGAGGTAGATCGGTTTTCTACTCCATATATGGCCACGAAATTAGAAGAAAGGTAATGAAATATATTGAAAATCTTGTAATTAAAAAATATTTTTATGGTTTGATCATCGAAAAATAAACTGAAGAAAATTACACAAGATCACCTTTTTTATTTTTTTATTGATTAGGTGAGTAGACGAGCTCACGACCCACCTGATGTTAAGTGGTCGCCAGAGCCTATTGACATCTACAACGTAAATGCCGCCATCTACCTTGAGATATGAGTTCAAAGGTCTCAGTTTTTACAGTTCAACGGCTGCCCCACCCTTCAAACCGAAACGCATTACTGCTTCACGGCAGAAATAGGCAGGGTGGTGGAACCTACTCATGCGGACTCACAATACGTCCTACCACCAGTAATTACGCAAATTATAATTTTGTGGGTTTGATTTTTATTACACGATGTTATTCCGTCACAGGGGAAGTCAATCGTGAACATTTGTTAAGTACGTATTTCATTAGAAAAATTGGTACCTGCCAGCGGGGTTCGAACACCGGTGCATCGCTCAACACGAATGCACCGGATGTTTTATCCTTTAGGCCACGACGACTTCACCTGGTTCCAAACAAGGATTTCCTGTATTATGGGAAACAGAAATTAACACACAAACACATCAATGTGTATGTATGTATGTGTGAATAAGTACTTTTCACCCCAGAATACTGGACTGATGGAGTAGGGCTCGATGCCCACATCGGCCAAACATTAATGGTCGCTACCGAATCAGTTATTACATAAAACATTTCATTGTTAACTCCAACTTATTGCAAAAATAGTTGCGGTCTTGAGAAGCTCCGGAAAAGCAAATGTCGCCCAAAAACGTCATCTCCGATCGCACCAATCCACTAACGGTGCTTTTAAGTACCCAAAGCACCGGTTACCGTTCTCTTTTTTTGGAGTTTACTCCTTTAGAATCGATTTACATATATAGGCCCGGGGTATGAAAATTATGGGGACCAAAATCGTACTAGCATGTCACACGAAATGCGTTATGCGCCTGATTGGCTCCTGATTGCGTGATGCGTGCGCGCGCCAATCAGGAGCCAACGCGCGGCCGCGTTATCGCAGGTGACGCCGGGCTGCTGNTACCGTATGTTCCATGGGGAGTGCTCTGAGGAATTGTTCGAGATGATACCGGCATCTCGTTTTTACCATCGCACCGCCCGCCACCGGAGTAGAGTTCATCCATACTACCTGGAGCCACTGCGGTCATCCACAGTGCGTTTCCAGAGGTCTTTTTTGCCACGTACCATCCGGCTATGGAATGAGCTCCCCTCCACGGTGTTTCCCGAGCTCTATGACATATCCTTCTTCAAACGAGGCTTGTGGAGAGTTTTAAACGGTAGACAGCGGTTTGGCTCTGCCCCTGGCATTGCTGAAGTCCATGGGCGACGGTAACCACTCACCATCAGGTGGGCCGTATGCTCGTCTGCATACAAGAGCAATAAAAAAAAATGAATACAAATTTGACTTAACTTTTACGCTATCGAGAACGTTAAAAAACTCGCACAAGCACACTGGACTTTATTCCCAATCGGAGGTAGTTTTAAAGATTAAGTAGATCGCTGTACTGTAATGAACGCACCATGGTATGTTACAAATGAAAGAATTTTTTATGATCTTGCCATAATAAAAGTCAAAGATCAAGTAATCCATCGAGGTAAAGCCTATTGTGTAAGATAGGAAGCCCATCCGAATAACCTTGCTAAGCATTTAATGGACAAGCAAATGACTACAAAAAGACTCAGAAGAAGAGTACCTCAAGATCAACTAGATCTACTGTAGATTAATTGTTATGGACATGTCAATGGACATTGTGCATGCACCGCCTACGAAATTGTTTTTTTCTCAAAACTACGGTTGAATGTCTTACGACAGTTTACTGTATAGAATAAAAAATAAATAAAAAAAATATCGTTGTACAAGTACACTTGGCTTAAAGTGGTTATCGTTGCCCATAGAGATAAGAACGTCAATGCCGCCAATCAATATTGACACGTGAGATCGAAGTCCCGTCCTTGAAATCGGAACGCATGACAGCTTAGAGGCAGCTCTCAGAACTGTGGTGAATGCCGCTTAGTGATAATACAATAAAACAAATCGGATCAAAACCGGAATTTACATTTACAATAGCTATACAACAAACCTGAGATATTCTCAACATAAATGATAAATGAATATTGGTGGTAGGACATCTTGTGAGTACGCACGAATAGGTCCAACCACCCTGCCTATTTCTGTCGTGAAGCAGTAATGCGTTTCGGTTTGAAGGGTGGGTCAGCTGTTGTACTGTTAAAACTGAGACCTTACAACTCATGTCTTTAGATAGGTGGTGTCATTTACGTTGTAGACGTCTATGGGCTCCGGTTACCACGGACCGTGATCTCGTCCACCCATCTAAGCTAAAAAAAAAGAATAAATCACTTGATATGAGTACATTGGATATCTTACCAAAACCCCCAAAAATAGACCATACAAAATTGTTAAATTTTATGTTAAAAACACAGATATGAAAACAAAACGAAACATCATAAAATATATCTCTTCTATCTCAGTGCATAATGTGAAAAATACTCAAGCGTCTCTGGATAAACACGGGTCTGTAATACGTCTACTAGAATTCAGCGCACGTTTTGACGCTTGTGTGCCCTATCAGTCGCGCTGAAAATTTCTTTCTCCGGTGCTATCGTAAATTGTTCTCCGAGTCGTATTGCTGAAAAAGGGCTTAATGGTTGTTACATAAAAAAATACACACTATAATTACATTATTAAGTTACAATTTAAACTAGAGGTCCCGCAGTAGTCGAAATGCGACTATAATTAATTGGAATTGTAAGTTTGTACACTATTATGATTGTATTTTATATTTCTATAATAACAAATTTCGCCAAGACTACACTATAAAAAATATTAACAAAGACAAACAATATTTAATCTATTCTCAATTTGACCACAGACGTCAAGAAGAAAAGTTTGACAATAAATAGTATGCATGCGTGTGTGCGTCAAATACATGGTATGTAGTGTGTGTAATGTTTTCTTTATTGATTTAATGTATCTTTTATGCATTATTTAAAAAAAATTATTAGCATTGTGCACTTCTTCTCTATATTCTCTATAAGTGTGGAAAATTTCATACTCCTCCGTCAGCGCAATTTTCGTAAAAAAGGATACAAAGTTTTTGCTTCACGTATTAATATATAGATACATGTGTCACGATACCCTATACATACTTACTAGTAAAAAAATCTATCAACAATGTTCATTGTTACAGCACTCCAACCGCCGGACATGACCGAATCTTCAGTGGATAAACGGAACAAACGTAGCGTTTTCGAATCAAGCCCTGAAGTAGATCGATTTCCAGCTCCATATATGGCCACGAAATTAGAAGAAAGGTAATGAAATATGTACATTGTAAATCTTGTAATATATATATTTTTTTATTGGTTTCATCATCGGTAAATAAACGGGAGAAAATCACACAATATCACCTCTTTTATTTTTTTATTGATTAGGTAGGCGGACGAGCTCACGGCCCACCTGATGTTAAGTGGTCGCCAGAGCCCATAGACATCTACAACGTAAATGCCGACATCTACCTTGAGATATGAGTTCAAAGGCCTCAGTTTTTATAGTACAACGGCTGCCTCACCCTTCAAACCGAAACACATTACTGCTTCACGGCAGAAATAGGCAAGGTGGTGGAATCTACCCGTGCCGACTCACAAAACGTCCTACTACCACAAATTACGCAAATTATAATTTTGTGGGTTTAATTTTTATTACACGATGTTATTCTGTCACAGTGGAAGTCAATCGTGAACATTTGTTAAATACGTCTTTCATTAGAAAAATTGGTAGTGAGATTGCCAGTGAGATTCGAACACCGGTGCATCGCTCAACACGAATGCACCAGATGTCTTATCCTTTAGGCTACGACAACTTCACCTGGCCCCAAACAAGGATTTCCTGTATTATGGGAACGAAAAATTAACACACAAACACATCAATGTGTATGACCGATGGAGTAGGGCTCGATGTCCACATCGGCCAAACATTAATGGTCGCCACCGAATCAGTTATTACATAAAATATGAAATGCTAACTGCAACTTATTGCAAAAATAGTTGCGGTCTTGAGAAGCTTCGGAAAAGCAAATGTCGCCCAAAAACGTCATCTCCGATCCTCCCGATCCACTAACAGTGCTTTTAGGTACCCCAAGCACTGATCATCGTTCTCGTCGAACCCGTCGCTTGCGACGAAGGGCTCGGCGAGTAAATTAACCCATAGACACAGCCCACTGAGTTTCTCGCCGGATCTTCTCAGTGGAACGCGTTTCCGATACCGTGGTAGATTCTGCGAAGCAAGGCTCTTGCTAGGGTTCGTGTTAGCAACAACGTCAGGTTTGAGCCCCGTGAGCTCACCTATTAGCCCGGTGACGCTGATATGGTCTCTCTAGACCAGAGTTCCCCAAACTTTTTTGTGTCGTAGACCCCTTGCCATGTTTTTCCGTGTTGGGTAGACCCCCTACTTACCTGATATTGATTTCCTGTAAATTTCTAACTGTACTCGTAGTAAAGTTTAGTGTTAAAAACTGAAAGTAAAAACACATGTTAATATGTTATACATTTATTAATTAAATTTAAATTAAAACTACTCAAAATAAAATTTTGTATCTGTTATGTAAAATATACGTAACATAAAATAATAAAATAAACATAAAATAAAACTATAAATAAAATAACATAAGCAATAAGTCAATATTTTTAGTGAGAAGGATGAATCTGATGCTTTAATAATAAATTATTAACATTTGGCGTCAATTTTGTAAGGGTTAATCTTAAATCTCCGCGGCTAATGATGTCCAGTCTGTTTCTTTTTTCGTTAGGAGATTGGTAACAGCGCTGAACCCCCTTTCCACTAGGTATGACGATGAATAGGAAATTAAAAATTTCCTCGCTATATTCCATAATACGGGATAAGTAACGGGTATGTTGTTTTGCAGCCAGAATTGCTGATAATAATGTATGTCTTGATATTATAAGATACTGTTATGTAAGTAAATAGGTACAATCAGTGTATGTGTTGAGATCCACTATCGTGGACCCCCAAATTTTTTTGAAAACTCAGAAAACGTTTTTTCTGTATTCTGAGATTGAAAATTAAGGCAACTCGAAACGTTTCATTGAAAGTGATCGTGAAATCTGATTATTACTAGTCTAGACGGTTCCCGAGATTAGATACTTATATATATTATGTTTTATTATTAGACTATTCAAGTGCTGAAATTTAAGTTTCATTTTATATTATACAATTATTTCAAATTTTTTGTCTTAAAAAAATACTCGTGTTTTTAATTCTTAGTAACTTTAAACTAGTAAACTCGATTTGGTATTACAATATATTAATATAAGTCGTGAGACTTTTTCAGTATCTTGCATTTATCAGTGAGAAAAGAAAAACAGCTTTTAAAACTGGACTACATAAGGTTGATATTTCCAGTTCTAAGCAGTCTGATTCGACATCATGGCATTGATTGTTGTAATTTGATCGAGCAGCAAACATGGCGTGCGACCACGACATTTTGTCTCAAGTTACAGCATGTGTTAATTTTGCTTACTACCAACTATTCGTAGGGCGTAGTAAGTAGCTTTAGTATCTGGAATATTTCGAATAAATAACGGATTATAGAACTGGGCATTCGGATTAATAACTTAGATGTCAAAAAAATTAATGATTAAAAATACAATAATAGGTAGTTTTAACATTAAAATTTATTATAAAGCGTATTTGCAGCAAGATAAATTAAGCAGTAAAGCAAAAAATGTATGCGTGTCGGACAGACACGATGCAGGCTTCCGATGGTCTTTATCTTCTTCCCTTCTTCCTCTCAGGAGGCGCCGGAGTCCGACAGCCCGGTCCGTTACCTCCCTCGACCGGGTATCCGTAAATGGATTCCCCAGCTTAGGCTTCCGATGATAGCGTCAACGTTCACGGCAAAAGCCTCTTCCTGTTTAGTATGTCTAACCTTGTTCTTAAGAGAAAACTAGGGTCTTAGACTAACATACTGTTACTACCTACGAGTTAATTAAAAGACACTAGTTCCGATAGGCTAGATTCGCATACCTATATCTTCTCATAGAAACCCAAAAAAACTAATATATTATGGTTAAGATAATTTGGCAAAAACACTTTTTTACTGTGGATATACGGGTCACCTTAGGCCATCATGACGTGGATGCCGTGTACCTTGAAACCAAAGAATCAAAGCCTCAATTGTATAGCGGCTATCCAATCCTTCAAATCGGAACGCACGACTGCTTCGCAGCAGAAATAGACATAACAGTGGTACCTTTTTTTTTTTTTTTATTGCTTAGATGGGTGGACGAGCTCACAGCCCACCTGGTGTTAAGTGGTTACTGGAGCCCATAGACATCTGCAACGTAAATGCGCCACCCACCTCGACATATAAGTTCTAAGATCTCAGTATAGTTACAACGGCTACCCCACCCTTCGAACCGAAACGCATTACTGCTTCACGGCGGAAATAGGCGTGGTGGTGGTACCTACCCGTGCGGACTCCCAAAAGGTCCTACCACCAGTGAAAACCTGTCAACGCGGGCTCACACTAAGCCTTGCTTTCAGTATTCATTTATAATCTATGTATCTACTCATGAGCGCTACGGCCATCGTGAGAGCAAAGATAAGAAAAAAATCCTTCGCCAAGATTATAGGATCCTATTTCCGATTGGAAAAAAAAAACAAATTGTCAAAGAAAACACTACAAAACTCGTGTTAGTTGTGTTTGGAAACGAAGAGTAGAAGGAAGAAGCGTTCTCCTATTCCTGGATAAAGGGGGATAATCCAACATCCTGATTGACAGTCCACCACTTTACACTGGCTTACACTGGTGGCAGGACGTCTTGTGAATCGGCAAGGGTAGGTACCACCACCCTGCCTATTTCTGCTGTGAAGCAGTAATGCGTTTCGGTTCGAAGGGTGGGGCCGCCGTTGTACTTTAAAAACTGAGACATTAAAACTCATATTTCAAGGTAGGTGGCGGAATTTACATTGTAGATGTCCATGGGCTCCGGTAACCACAGGTCCGGTAGTCAGGTGGGCCGTGATCTCATCCGCCCATCTAAGCAATAAAAAATAAAATAAAATAAAACCAACAAAAACACTAGCTCGGTGCAAGATCTTTCCACTATCGTTATCCCCCGAAGCGCAAAAAAAACCAACTATGATTTTATACAAACAAGCTTCTCGTTACGTGCATGGGCATCATTAAATTTATCATCGGCGAAAACTTTATAACTTTCGCAATTACGAGACATGATCGCGACCATAACTTATTACTTCTTAAAAGCATCGAGGAAAAACATCAAAGCCCCTGTCTGAGTGGGCACGCTAGCTTTTATATCATTTTCAAATTAAATGAGAAGCGCTTCCTTCCTGTTGGCTTATAGAACTTCCGTCGTATACAAATGATTTTAACAAACAAGGAAAATTGACGTCTTTAATAAATGAAACGAATAAATGACGGTAGAATTTCAAGTGGTTTTGGTAACTAACTTAATAATATTATAAAGAGGAAAGATTTGTTTGTTTGTTTGTTTGTTTCGAATAGGCTCCGAAACTACTGGACCGATTTGAAAAATTCTTTTTCCATTAGAAGCCGACATTGTCCCTGTTGAACATAGGCTACTTTATTTTATTTTATTTTTATTTTATTTTTTTGGTTTCATGTGTGTTTTAATGTTTCCGAAGCGAAGCGAGGGCGGGTCGCTAGTTATCAAATATTTTTCAATGTTTCAATGAAAACGATTCAACTGGGCTAGAATCTAGGCAGGAGGCGGTCAATAGTTATAAATTTGGAAATTAATGGCGACTGGACATATCTTGAGCTCATCGACTGCTTATCGGAGCAGAAATAAGCAGAATGAAGAGTATCTAAACACGCTCTATAACCTATATCAGCTTGAATTGAATTTGAAGTCGTCGTGGCCTAACGGATAAGACGTCCGGTGCATTCGTGTTGAGCGCGATGCACCGGTGTTCGGATCTCAGGCGAGTACCAATTTTTCTAATGAAATACGTACTAAACAAATGTTCACGATTGACTTCCACGATGAAGGAATAACATCGTGTAATAAAAATCAAACCCGCAAATTTTTATTTGCGTAATTACTGGTAGGACCTCTTGTGAGTCCGCGCGGGTAGGTACCGTGAAGCAGTAATGCGTTTCGGTTTGAAGGGTGGGGCAGCCGTTGTAACTATACTTGAGACCTTAGAACTTATATCTCAAGGTGGGTGGCGCATTTACGTCGTAGATGTCTATGGGCTCCAGTAACCACTTAACACCAGGTGGGCTGTGAACTCGTCCACCCATCTAAGCAATAAAAAAAAATAGATACGTAAGGTGCGAAAATTCAAAACAAAGTTCAAACTTATAACGGCGAAAGCTACTAAGCATCACCTTTATTGAAAATAAGCTGTTTGATGTGCCACAATACTGCGTGCTTGAAGACTGCAGCGTTTGAAATCTAAGTTTCAATGTACATATATTGTTTCAGACGTAAATCGAAAAAGTTCTTGGGCAGCTTAGAGTCCGCTTCAGCAGCTAAGATGACGATGCACACCGTACCGCGGACAGTCAGGAACAGTGACGATGAGGTATTCAATTAATGGATAATCTGAATTCAGAATATTCTAGATAAGAAGTGTTTTTAATAAGTCCAATAGTCAAACTGTCTTTTGCACGGGCGCTCTGTTTTAAACTTGATTGAAAGAGACAAAACACTATATTATTCCACTTTGTGTTATTGAAGTCCGTGGGCGATGGTCAACACTAAACAACATTTGATACATGAGGTCATAATTATACGCTCCTGTTCTACGAAACTAATAAGTTGAGGATAATTAATTATTGTTTGTAAATGTAAATGTGTAATAAATAAATAAATTGGTTACTTGAATAACAAGCATTTTTTTTATTGCTTAGATATGTGGACGAGTTCACAGCCCACCTGGTGTTAAGTGGTTACTGGAGCCCATAGACATCTCCAACGTAAATGCGCTACCCAACTTGAGATATAAGCTCTAAGGTCTCAAGTATAATTACAACGCCTGCCCAACCCTTCAAACCGAAACGCATTACTGGTTCACGGCAGAAATAGGCAGGGTGGTGGTACCTACCCGCGCGGACTCTCAAGAGGTCCTACCACCAGTAATAAAATTTCATTATAATATTGCATTTTTAAATACCACCTACTAACTGGACTATTTGTGGCGTGAAGGAATCATGCGTTCCAATTTGAAGGATAACACGTAGACAGAAAAATGCTTTCATTTCAAGGTGACGACATACTCGGTGTGATATAACCACCTATAGCTTTGGTATTCACCAAAGTAGTACCAGGTGTATCTTGAACTTGCTCAGTTATCTTGTAAAAAATATATCTAGAGATTTGACATCAGATGAATCGTATGCTCGTCGAGCGATGTCGCAAGGATACGTGATTAAATTCAATCGCTCTACTGAATATTCAAATTGAGTCAGAAAATGCATATTTTTAAGTTCTGCTCACGACAGAGTAATATATCAATATATAATCTTATCAAACCGTTGAAGTAATTTCCAATAGTTGATACAAGTGTTGTGGGACTGAGAATGATGTTGATCAGGTAATAATATTGATCGATTATAATCTATACTAATATTATAAAGAGGAAAGATTTGTTTGTTTGTTTGTATCGAATAGGCTCCGAAACTACTGAACCGATTTGAAAAATTATTTCACTGTTTGGAAGCTACACTATTTCCGAGTGACATAGGCTATAATATTTTTTAAAAAAAAATTAGGGATCCTTACTAAAACTCCAATAAAGTAACCCAAAGTACCTAAAATATTCTTATAAGTGTTCTTTTTGGTAAAGACCCGAGCGGAGCCGGAGCGGGCCGCTAGTTATCTATATAAACTAAACGAAAGATATTATATTGTATGTTTGTTCTCTATAAGTTCCTAAAACAATTATCCTGATTGTGATGAAACTTGGTAAACTTATTGTCGGTACTTTAGAGTTGGTATTATAATTGAAGCTTCAATAAATGTATCTATTTAAAACATTTAGCGATAGTCACAACGGAGTTGTGGCCATGTATTATTAGTAGTTAATAGAAATGAAAATGAATATTCTTCTTCATCCGTTTCGTTTACTGATACCATCTCAAAATTATTCTTACATATTGTATAACAAAAATACACATCAAGGAAATAGTACTTCGTTTTCTCTTCCAAATGATATGTTATTTATTTACGAGGCTAACAAATTTTCGGAGTAAATCAAATAAAATAGACCTGAACACATTTGAGCTTGAATAGCGAAGAATTGAATATAAATTAGACACGACCTTTGAGGAACCTGCCGAAGAAAACCATTGTCGATATCAGATAACATTTCAATATGTTATCATTAGTGTATAAAATATGTATTACTTAGTTTCTCTTGAACTTTTTTATACATATATTATATTTAATAAAAGGAAAATGATTGGTAACGAAAGAAAATCACATTAAATATATTTTACTACATATTTTTGGGCCTCCGAGAGCACGTACTGTCAACTAAACAAGGCTACGGAATGATTTAATAACGTAATGTAAACCGAAATGGGAAATTTTGTTCAGAAATATATTTATTACAGTGTTTTTTTTTTTATTGCCTTTGTAGGCAGACGAGCGTACGGCCCACCTGATGGTAAGTGGTTACCGTCGCCCATGGACTTCAGCAATGCCAGGAGCAGAGCCAAGCCGCTGCCTACTGCTTAATACTCTCCACAAGCCTCGTTTGAAGAAGGACATGTCATAGCGCTCGGGAAACACCGTGAAGGGGAGCTCATTCCATAGCCGACTGGAAACGCACTGTGGATGACCGCAGTGGCTCCAGGTAGTATGGATGAACTCTACTCCGGCTGATTAAGCTTAGCTTAAGCTGATTCCCGAATCCAGGTACAGAAATAGCGCCGCAACAGAAATTGACAATGGGTTTTAGATGTCACATAATACTACTACGTGTTGCAATAAATTCCTTACAATATATATACAATACAAGAATCTTAATAATATCCGGCCCATATGAAAAAAAACAGACACACTTTCCTTCGCTTTGAAAAACAATAAAGCCGCGCAATTATTTCAGCTATGCCACCCTGTCGCCAACGGAAATTCCATTAAACATCATATATTGGTAGCGAGTGCTCGGCGAACGACTCCGATGCTTTAATTAATGTATAATGTACCTTATTGATTTTATACGAACGCCCACAGGAACAGAGGCGGCCGTTTATAGCAGCTCATTTCCATGGAAACACATCGCATCTGAACACCGAAGTTCATGAGCATTACAAAGGTAACAACAAATCACAATAAAATGTAAATGAACACATTATTCAGAACAAATTAACATATTTTCCACTGGTGGTAGGACCTCTTGTGAGTCCGCGCGGGTGGGTACCACCACCACCGTGCCTATTTCTGCCGTGAATCAGTAATGCGTTTCGGTTTGAAGGGTGGGGCAACCCTTGTAACTATACTGAGACCTTAGAACTTATATCTCAAGGTGGGTGGCGTATTTACGTTGTAGATGTCTATGGGCTCCAGAAACCACTTAACACCACGTGGGCTGTGAGCTCGTCCACCCATCTAAGCAATAAATAAATAAAAATTATCATATTTAATTCAATTTTACTCTTACATCTTGTCGTATTCCCACCTAGGTTTAAATGCGCTGCAGGGGTCCACCTAAAACTATTTTTAATGTAGTCAAATTATTGAATTCAAAATTGACGATTGATTAACGATCGGAATCTAGAAATTTCTCGCGTGTTATATGTGTGTAAAAGACAACCTGAGCACGATCGTTTTTAACAAAGATAATTCTGACTGAGTACACGAAACACAGCTTAAGTTCATTAAGCACTAAACTAAAGAAACGATTTTGTAAAGGAATCCTCAAAGTTCTGAATTACGCAAGAGCTGTTCAAGATAATATCGCTATCGAGACTTGCAAAAGTGTTACCGCTCTTCTTTGAGACATAAATATGGCAGATTTCCAGCTTTCACTCGACCTGATTGGATTTAAAATGAAAATACGTAAGCATTTTCCGTTTGAGAGAGTGGGAAGTTAGAAGGTTTATTCCTTTAGAACGACGCTTCGACGCCCACTGTACGCACTCAATAGTAACGTTCTGAGCATTGAAGGCACAATACACTATTACGTCATTCGTTTGATAATTTACCAGTTACGTTTTCTATTGTAGAATATTGCTCTGGAGTATCGGAGCTACGAGTCCAATTCAGTTTTAATGAATCAATTAATTGATCTTCGAATTCATTGCTATTTTTAGCTCAATCATAAAGCATTACTAGCGTAATGTGAAGCCATGTTGATAGCTTTTATAATTCGAGTTAACTAATTTAAGAACAAAAAATGCTATTTCATTAGAGTAAAATATGTTTAATGTAATATATAGAGCATTGCTGAAGGAAATTTACCACATGATCTACCCTAAAATGTTTTATAACTACCTACCCACGCCAAAAGTAAAATTTAATGATTATTAGGTTTATTATTATTATTATTATTACTTGTACGCAAACACTACTATCAGATTAATACGTTTGAAGGAATTATGTTAAAGGGTCACGTGGATGCGGATTGAAATCTTGGTACATTCGTTCTTGAAAGGTTTCTTTGCCAATACTGATTCTAATTTTAGAGACGTCGTAAGAATTATTTTTAGTCTATAAAGTTTTTCGAGCGGCAATTGGCAAATTGGATAGTTAGCTATTCTCCACTTTGGTATTGAAGATTTTCCCGACACTCTAGAAATCGGTTTTATCTGACATCTTTACGAATGATGACATAAATATTCAGAATATCTATATTTAACGGTAGGCAGCGGCTTGGCTCTGCCCCTGGCATTGCTGAAGTCCATGGGCGACGGTAACCACTCACCATTAGGTGGGCCGTATGCTCGTCTGCCTACACGGGCAATAAAAAAAGACCCTACTTATATCTATTATAATAATTATGTGGGGCAGTATCGAACTGTGACACAAAGACCTTTTGACAAAGGCGACATCATCGCTATAACAGTGGGCGCCCCTCGCAACCTTTCAATTTATGCCTCGATATATTTTATACGTAACTCGTACCTGCGCACTCGAGCGTACTCGGTGTACGTAAGTATTCGAATAAAAATTTAGCGAATTAAATAATACATTAGATGTAAATATATTTATTTATTTAACTCTACGCGCAAGAGTACAATAGCGAACTTAATGTCTAAGGCATTCTTCAGCAGTCACTACATAGTTCACTATCTAGCATGGTGTAGAAAATTCTGTGGTAGGTTATTGGAAAATATATACAAAACCCACGCGGCATATATATGTACATACACATAAATTCATTCATATACCCATAGATATATTTACATACATAAATGTGTACTTTATACATAATGTATTAAATATTTACTTATGGTATTTTTAACAGAAAATATCAACACATACATATAAAATCGAAAATCTAAAAGCAAAGTGTATTAGAAATCCACTCCATTGCTATGGATACGACTCTAATAGCTGCTTTATTTGAATATATTTTTTTAAGCACAAATAGTATATTCATTCATACTATAAATTCTAAAGCTACATTATCAATTTCACCATTATTTAAAACACGGAGACCAAACTCTGGTAGTAATGTGAATTGTCAGCTAAAGGATTAGTAGAAGAGAAAAAAATATAAATTGGAAAATTTAAATCTATATATAGAAAAATGAATTGCTGTTCGTTAATCTCGCTAAAGCTCGAGAACAGCTCTACCGATTTGGCTAATTTTGGCCTTGAATTATTTTGTGGAAGTCCAGAGAAGGTTTGAAAGGTAGATAAATATGAAAATGCTCGGAATGAAATAAAAATAACAATTTTGTTTTTCCTTTGATGTGTCCCCCGTCGGACGGATTCCTTTTGTTTGTGTCTTTTATTTATCGACTGAGGCACTACGAAATTGGCCGGGTCAGCTAGTTTTAATATAAAATTGATTTCAGGTAATGGCTTGATAAGAGTGTCTCACGGCGCCCCCCACGACGTGTGGTATCCATCGCAGTGGACGATATCGTCGCCTCCTCCGCGTCCGACTCTGACGCACTCCGGTCACGTCCGCGTGCACCACACCGGAGTCTACCTCGTCTACGCTCAGGTACAATGTCTTTGTATTTACAGGTATGCTATTTACAGTCTTAATTCGCATTACTTAAGAATCCGAATGAATTGACTGGAATGAATCCGTTTTTACAATTACGCAATAAGCAATAACACGCAATAAGTGTGATTAGCGTAATGATTACCACCAGTTTTGAGCCTTGAGAGGCTATTTCAGCGTAACCTTAACTAGTAGGTGAGCTCACGGGGCTCAAACCTGATGACGTTGCTAATACGAACCCTAGCAAGAGCCGTGCTTCGCAGAATCTACCACTGGATCGGAAACGCGATCCACTGAGAAGATCCGGCGAGAAACTCAGTGGGCTGTGTCTGAGGGTTTACCACCAGTAATTAATTACGCAAGTTCAGCTATATTTACCTAATGCCCCAAAACTTTTAATTTTATTCCTTCAGATTTACTACCTGGACAGTCACGACGTGATATCTTGGGTATTGCACCGTACGAATCCTGAGTCGGATGGAAGAGACACCCTTCTTCAATGTGCACAATCATCCCACTCTACGGAAGTTCTCGACAAACCAAATTCCTGTTTCTCTGCATCAGCTCTGTTCCTCAGAGCTGGCGACAGACTCGCCGTTAGGAACACCGGCGGAGATAGACACTCTCTCATGCAGCCAGAGAAAAGCTTCATAGGTCTCATTAAATTGGCTGACGCCGAAGATCCGGCGCAAGAACTGTAGTAATATCCGTTCGGAAACCGGACATTGTAACGGTGCCATTTTGAAACGAAGTTTCTCTTTATAAAGAGTTGTTTCAATTTCGACTTTATTGCAAGTAAATTTTGTTTATTTTTCTTTATTTAGTAACATACTATGTTATTAACGACTGTTGTCAAAGCTTTTGTAGTTTTTTTTATTATTATTTTAACAATAATTTATGTGCTTGTAATTCGTATGTGCGTACACATGCGAATACTTTCATCGTGTTGTTTAAGTACCTACGTAAGTAACATAAAAAATATGTATTCGTTTACAATAAAAGTGATAGAGAATGAGTGTGTTATTAGTTTAGTGAACATGTGCCATCGTTATTCTATATGTTAGTGTATTAATTAATTTGTAACAGGGTTATTTTATTTTGTTTCGATCTAAATTACGGAAAGCGACCGTAAAATTTCAGCTACAAAATTTATAAAGCTATTGCTTTAAAAAGCATTCTACGAATAATCTAGTTTTTCGGTTAGCTATGTAATAAATATTAACATTAACGCATAGATGAGCAGAATAACTAAACCAATTTAATCTGAAGTGAATCTCTATAATTCTATACTATGATAAGTATAACACTTCTTTAAGTAGCTTTGCGATTGTTAGCTTGTATAATTCGTTGACAGCTTTTTTTTACTTCTTTTCTAAAATTCATCGCCATTAAGATTAAGGAATTATTTTACATAAAATTGATTATTTATGTCATTCAAATTTCATACCATCTCTGATTAAAACTAATATTTAAGATTCGGAAAATACGATATTTAAAAAAGAAATCTAAATATCGTTGTTGTTTAGTGTTCTACAATACATATATTAAAATTATTATATAATGACAGTGGCTTTCTTTAATCAATTGAATTTAGAATACGTTTGCCCGTATTTATCAAAAAACTTGTACACATTCAACTATGTTGAAGTGAGTGACATCTTTATTAAAATGTCATTATGACATTATATTCTTGCAAGGGGAAATATAAATGTATTCATGGCATTTTGGTACTAAAGAACGAAGTTACAAAGGAAGCATTGTTTCTAAATGTTTTAGCTGGCGATTGATCTGATCATTTGAACATACGAACTAAGTAGGTAGCTAATGCACCTAAATCGCCTATATACACAACTCCCGAATTTTCGTTTTTAAAGTAATATTTAAATTATTTTCGTTCATAAATCCAATTATGTAATTCTTTTTTTTGTAATCATCTTTTTTCCCCAACCTGTAAAACCTAGGGCTATTAATCCTGGTACAATTGTTAAAGTAGGTACTACAGTTACATAATTTATTTACCTATGAGATAAGTATTCGGTCGTGCATTCATGTTTTTGTAAAGATTAAAATTAAATAAAAATCAGTGTTTCATTTTTCCCAAAAAAAATTTACGGTAGCTTATATAACTCTTTTTTTTTCTGGGTCTGTTACCGAACCTCCTCCGAGGTCTCCACACTTTCGTTCCGCCCTTTACCTCCGCGAAATAGTGAATTCGCAGAAGTCAAGCATTAATTGCCTTGCAGGACGTATGGCTGCCGAGAATCGTGGCCACAACCGTCAGTAGCAACAGATCCTCTCCTATGACGACGACCATGCAACAGAGCCCGCGAGTATGTACTCCGCGGTATCCTCCTCGTCGCGGAGCTATAAAACTAAATCGACGCTTGAAAGGCAAACGTGACTAAGCGACAATAACTGCTTTGTACATAAATGATAGGCAATAACCGTATTCGATGCGCAAAAAAAAAAATTCTAGGTCTATTAAAATCATTTCAATCCTACAGCTAGATTCGTTAAAATATAATTTTTTTCAGGTATTTCAACTTTAAATTAGTCTTAGTCACGTGTGCCTTTCAAGCGTCGAAATACATTATCCTTTTTTAATTAATAGTATAAAAAAACATTGAAATGCTATATATACTGAGTTTCAAGGATCTAAAATAAAGTAAACTCAGACAACGGGCCAACTATTAAATATTATTAAAATATATCATCATATTTATAAGACATTAATACATTACAATGATAATTTTTAATAATTAGGTACAACAATTTTAAGACTTAAAACATATAGTTTAAAGACTTGTAATATCTTGATTTATAAAGAAAATAATAATGATGATTTTGTCTGAATCTATAGTATTTTTAAATAATCGTTGTTAATACATTGATTAAAAAATAAAACTCATGTATCTACCACCGTCGTGAGAGCATCTTGTTGACCATCAGATAGCACTGCGACTTTTGAAATCATCGAGAAGATTCGGTTTTTGTATCCTCCTAAGATTCCTCATTACGAACTGGAATGTCGAGCCCACGCCGAGAGTCTTGAGCCCGACAATTTAATTAAAACGACAAGATATTGGCATTCCTTCCACGAGGATCACTAGAGACGGGAGAAATATTTGTCGTCTAATATGAATTGTCTCGTCTGTGTTTGTTGGTTTGAATTAAATTGAAGCTAAAATATAATGCAATCTTCGAACTGAACCATAATCGAATCATAAAATTAAGATAGGTATAAGTTATATAAAGTCGGTTATCTATAATTTCAACTTTTCTAATTGAACATTTAAATATTGTTGTTTTTAAGATGTTTTACGAGTAGATAGCCATGTAACCAAAGTCGGAATAAGATTTCTTTTGCTAATAAAATAATGGGTTACAGGTCCAAAAAAAAAAGAAAGAAAAGAGCGAACACACGAATCCGTCGTCTGCCTCACTTACCTACACAAAACGTAAAAGTGACTTTTACAACAAATTAATCCTTGTAGATAGCTTTTTAATTTAATCTCTAATCATTGTTTGGTTTTCAGGACTTTTGCTACCATATTACCAATTAAAAGTTTTAACTTTAATTAATTTCTTATTAATCAATTTAATATTTGTATAATTCACGCCAGCTTTATCCCTTCCTTCTAATGTCCAGGAGCGAGGGCACGTGTCGTGCGAACTTTTGCCACATTTGTGTTTTCTCCTTGAAACTCACCTGGTAGCTTTTCAAACGAGGCTTAAAAATAAGTTCGCAAAAGTGATTTACACGTTTCAGTCTAAGCGTCTTGAACTCAAGAACTTTTTTTTTTTTTTTTATTTTTTTTTTTTTTTTTTTTTTTTTTTTTTATTTTTTTTTTTATGATTGAAAGTTTACTTGTGGCCCGAAGGCCTTTCCAGTTTCACCAGGACAGGTGGGCGAGCAAAGGCTCAGCCAAGAGGGGTGGGATTTGCTAACAACTGCCCGAGCGCCTCCGAAGGAGACCTAACAACTCAAGAGCAATTGTTTCGCGAATGAATCTACTACCGGATCGGAATCGCNAGGCGGTGCACCTGTTGAACGCATGAGTGATTTGTACGGAATCCGAATTGTTCATCGATGAGAATGCCCTTGGATGAGACGAAGTCTCTGAGGCGTTTGTAGAGCAGACGCTCATACAGTTTGCCTAGAGACATGAGGAGGCTAATCGGGCGGTAGCTCGTCGGATGATTTTTTGGTTAACCGGGTTTATATGCCGATAACGTCCGCTTCTTTCCACACCGCGGGAAAGATACAGTTCGCCATAGCGGCATTGAAAATAGATGCCAACATCACGATGAGTTGGACGGGTAGAAGTTTAATAACGCGGTTAGATATACCGTCGGAACCGGGAGCCTTGCGAGGACGTAGGTCTTTGATCAAGTCTTTAACTTCTATCGGGGTGAAGAACTTTTTTAGCTTTGACGTAGCAAATACGTAGAAAAGAATTGCTACGTATCAAAATCAATAATGTAATTTTACAGTCCAAGCGTGGCGAGGCCGGTCTGAAAATGTACTGCTTATGTATGTGCTTAGGAAGTCAAGGAAACTTTTAGCGAGAATTGCTTGGAAATTTAAATTTTTGGTAACATTATGTTCAGAAGTACATGAAAAAAAAAATGTTACTAAACTCATAATCATTTATACTCCATCAAACAACGATTGGCCACATATGACATCATCCTTTCTAATTGGTATTTTTCTTGACGTAATTTTTTTGTTTGTTAAGTATCCGTTTAATTAAGTTCACTTAAGAATGATTTCGGGACGGTTGCCTCTTTGCTTTAAACCAAATACGTCAAGTCTCAGTACATTTATCTTATTCGTGTTTCAAGCACTACGCCGGATTTCCCGACGGATGCTCAGTAAATGTAAATGAACGTAGTCGACGTTTTGTGATATTGTGACTAGTTCCTGCACAGAAATAAAGTACCTAAATGTGTGCTAGAAGTATACAGAGTAGGTATTACGCATTTTCCTTCTATTGGATATGAAGTTACTGTCTTTACTGGTGGCAGGGCGTCTTGTGAGTCCGCACGTGTAGGTGCCATCACCCTGCCTATTTCTGCCGTGAAGCAGTAATGCGTTTCGATTTGAAGGGTGGGGCAACCGTTGTACTGTTAAAACTGAGAACTTAGAACTCTTGTCTCAAGATTGTAGATGTCATGGGCTCCGGTAACACAATTTTAATACTAAGTGGGCCGTGAGATAATCCATCTCAGCATATTTTTCCCTTAAAAAATCTTTATCTCCTTCTTGCTCTTATGCCCCTGTCATGCCGGGTCCGTACAGCCTATCCTCTCATCATACTGCACAAGGACCTAGCATGGAGTTTTACGATCGACCGTCTGCCTAACGACGGCAAAACCTAAGAAACTATGGTCACTACGTAGATGCCAAAAGATTATGAGGTCAAAGTCCGATTTAATCAGTCGTAACCATTTCCGTACCTCAGCTCATGTGAATATATAGTGTGCTAAGTGCGAGTTTTTTAACATTCTCGATAGCGTAAAAGTTAACTGATATTTGTATGGAATGGGATCGTTTGCCTACGTTTGCCGCTAGGGGCGCTGTTCCAACTGCATACAAAATTGGGCTAACTTTTACGCTATCGAGAACGTTAAAAAACTCGCACTAAGCACACTGGTAGGGACAATGGACACACATGATAGAAGAGAGGCTTCCGCGCCAAAATCGTGATTACGATTTTTTCGATAAGCATAAAGCGGCTCGTGAACTCGATCAGGGAACAAAAAGATTATTGGCGTTTTAAGTAAAACGATCACGTGATTACTTTACGGCTGAAATGGAAAATCATGTCTCAATAAACTCCAATAAATGAATATTGAAAATTGTTACGCAGCAAATTTTATTTTTCTTGGAACTCTTGAAACCCTTTCAAGCTAATTTTAGTCTACACGAATCTCGGCAGGATCGTGGTGTATAAAATTAATCTAATTTCGATTTTTGTACGGACTAAAATCATTTGCACAATTAGTAGGTTAAAATAAAGGAAAAAACAAAATGTACGATACGATTTATAAATGTAATAATCAATTAAATTATTTGATGCAAATACAATTTTAAACATAGTACAAAAATGATACGTGGTCAAATCTTACAAATTACTGTATGCTTAGTGCGAGTTTTTTAACGTTCTCGACAGCGTAAAACTTAAAATTTGTATGCCGTTGGAACAGCGCCCCTGACGTTAAACGTAGGCAAACGTTCTAACTCCATACAAATTTAAGTTAACTTTTACGCTATCGAGAACGTTACAAAACTCGCACAAAGCACTTTTTTTTTTCTTACCTATGCTGATAGCCTTGAGAGGCCATTTCAGCTTCTCCTTGACATGTAGGTGAGCTCTCGGGGCTCTAACCAGGAGTGTTGCTAACACTGGCCTTAGCAAGAGCAGTGCTTCGCAGAATCTACCAGCGGATCGGAAACGCGACCCACTGAAAAGATCCGGCGAGAAACTCAGTGGGCTGTGCCTATGGGTTAATTCACTCGCCGAGCCCCTCGTCCTAATAGACAGGTTCGACGAGGACGGTGACCGGAAGCACGAAGCTCACTGAGCATTTAAAGTTCTGGCGTGGGCGATAAGGCTGCGTGACTGAAGTTGAAGACTCCGGAAGTCACGCGCGTCACGTTGCTGGCAATGAAAAACAAAAAATTTAATTCAGAATGTGATATATATTTAAAAATGTATTAATAGACCAGAGGGTTGTTACAGTCAAAGTGCCCGATTACAGTTTCCCAGGCTGTGACCTTTTTTAATTGTTTTGATTGTTATATCGCTTAGATTTGTAGACGAGCTCTTGGCCCACCTGGTGGTAAATGGTTACCGGGGTCCATAAACATCCAGTTTTAAGTTTCACAATACAACGTCATCCCCATCCTTCACGTACGTAATACACAATAATTTATTTGGTACTCACTTTAGATTTCATACATTTTGCGTGCGTCGTGGTGTATATAGCTACATTAAACCAATGTTATGCCACCGAAAATTTCAATTATGCATTTTATGCAGGTTGAGATGATTTAGTGAATTATTTACTTGGCAA